TATATTTGGAAAGGGTGGATTTTCAATTAACACTTAAATTTTTCTCATTTCCCTTAGGGCTGATAAGAATAGAAAAGAAGCCTGCATTTCCAAAGATCAGGAATTTAATTCTTAATAACCTAAGAAAAAAAAAAAAAAATCTAACTGGCTGGTTTTGTTCCAGGTAGGTTAGAATTGAAGTAAATCATGGGCTCTGCAATTTTACAACTTATCCTCAGGTTTCACTAGTTATTCGAGATTTGCATTTTTTATTTTAAAAAGTTTAACTTGTCCACTACTAATATATACTGAAGGTTAGTGGTATGGTTCATTACATTGTGCAGGAAACAAGAAGTCACAAATCAGGACACACCAGAACTAAGAGCACTAATGTACATCACATTTATCCCCTTAACACATTTATATGGCCTTTTACCTAACACCCCAAGGAAAACCCCTGGCTAAGGTAAAGCCTCCTGCCTGCAAGATAGTAGTCCTACTGCAAAGTGGAGGCATCACAATACTTCACTGAAATAGAAGTAAACAGTTGTTTTCCCATGCTTCATATAACCAACAGAACACACAGACTTGCATCAGAAAGCGTTAAGCAGTGTTACACACAGGGGTAGGTGCCTGTATCTGCCAAAATCCCATTATGGCTACTCATTTATTGTAGCTAAGTGCTCTATCTAATGATACATAAGTCATCAGTGAGGCTTTTTAAGACCAAAACAGATGTTAGCTCCACTGGCTGTTGTGGGCTCTGAACAGTTGCTTAATTTCAATATTGACTTTGAAAGTTTTTAGTCTGTCTTATGTGATGTCCAATACATGAGCCAATAGGTATCCTGAGTTAAAAGGAAAATGTACAACAATGTAACAGAAATGTTATAAAAATGTTAAAATCAGTGTCACTGTTCTGGAGTGGAAGGAGTAGCTACTTCCTTAACAGTGGTCTTCTGACCCTGCCGCATTGGAGCAATTATCCTTTGAGGTAGAGGAATTCTGAAAAGCTTTCCCTTCCCTGTTGCACCTCCACCAGACACAAAGTTCTGGCAATTCTTCTTTCACCAAGAAACAACAACGATTCTCAAACCGCTTGCATTGCCCCAGTAAAAAAGTAAAAATACGGGATGTCTGAATGTCTTCTTTTTTCCTCTCAAGCATATACGCAGACATATCAAATAAAGCTGCTTCCACCACTAACGGATGTTACAACTGATGCTAGCTGAAGAAGTCTGATATCCTTTTTAAGGAATTATTTTCTTAAATCTATACTATTATTTCAGTATGGTTAAAAAAATTATTCAAAATTAACCATCAGAAGACCTAGCAGTATCCAGTACCACACCAACATTTTTTGGATTGTGCTTCCTGTTTCAGATTTATTTAATTCTATGGGGATTAAAACCAACCAAACAAACAAACCCTGTTTTGCAGGTAGAAGTCCCTGGCTACCTTACAATCACAAAGTAGAAAGATGAAATAATTTCCACATCAGGATAAAGAAACATTATGGAATTGTGAGAGGTGGACCATCCCAAAGAACAGAAGATTTCAAATTAATACACCTAGCAAAAGGAGATGTGACTAGTGGTAACAAGAAGCCCTCTTGAAAACAATATAATGCATACCTTCTCGCAGAACCTAATTCTCTCACACAACACAAGCAAAAATTAGAAACACAACAGAAATTATTTCATAGCATACTTCAGAGGCAATGGATGGAATACTTCACCCCATTTCCGGGTAACTGACAAAACAGACTCTAATTTGATGTCACTTCCAATATTTCTTCTTTTTTTGACAAAGTGGTGGTAATAAAAATCACATTAAAAATATGAAAAATCACTTTAAAAATATGGAAGTACTGGTTTTTAGCCTTTGAAAAGCCCTGTTGAAGGAGGCTTAAATGTCAGATATGCAAGTGATGAAGAATGTTTGTTTTAATGAGCTCTCAGAGCCATTACAAAGACAACAGAGTGCATGCAGTTTTTGAGCAACAAAAATTAAAAGGTTTCAACAGCACTACTATAAACCTAACTATTACATAACTATAATAGTTATGATGTCAGAAACCATGACATTGTCACAGTTAAATCAGAAAGCAATGTATGTCTGAATAAAGCATATCTGTTTGGAATATGTCTATTCCAGGCAACAGAGAAGAGCTAAAGGTGAAAACTAAACTGAGATCCAGCACACAAAAATGAGATGCATCACAATGAAATGCATGCAAACAACCTGGTTGAATGTCCTCAAAAATCTGTTCTGGATTTTTGGCACCAAATGTAAAGGGAATTCACTGTAGTATACATGTATTTTAAGATACTATTGTAAACCAATCTTTGGCCTTTGTTGCATCTACTTCAATTAATTTCATGTACAAGGCATGTGTTTTTCCCCAATTCATTACAATCATTCTTTAATCAAGCAAGAAATGGAAAAAGTTTTCCAAGGAAATTACTTTTAATTTGATAAAGATCATACAAAAGTATTTTTACATATTTTAATAGTGTTAATAGCTTCTTCCTTTCTGGTTCTAAACATATTCAAAACAGTAATAAAAGGAGAAGGAGCACTACTCTGCTCTGCCCAGATCTGGTACCAGGCAAGAAAAAAGGCTATAGATAGCAAATCTGTAAGGATCAGAGAACTGACCTTTAATCGAATGTTGCAACTTTGTGGTCAAGATACTCAGAGACCTTACATTCACGAAAAAGAACACATCTGTAAGTAAACTCTCTAAATCTACCTACTCACATCAGATGATACACTTAAACAGAGATGGAGTTTAAAAGCAGTATTCCACATTACCCACAATGTAACTGAAAAGCCTATGTTATTTGAAGCAGTAATTCAAATGGACAGTTTCTTTCTAAGGAATGCATGTTTGACTGTTGGTTTCCCCCACATTGTTGTTGCATAAAGGTCACAACTGTATAAAACACACAGGAGTGGGATCATGATCCCACGCCAAGTCAGCCAAAATTAATTCCATTCCCAGCTTTGTGAATGACTTGCAACATGAGTAACAAAACAACTTTATCTTTTTTTGTTCATCTGTACAATGATACTTACCTACTTCACCAGGTAGTTGTGGGAACTAATGATGGGTATGTTAATATTTAGGAACCATCATAAGCTGCATCCTTTCCTACAAAAATCTGTCCTACAGTAGCTTGACTAAGTTTTTCAGGACAACAATTATCTATCCTTTTTTTTTATTTGTTTGTACAGTTCCCGGAACAATAGGGTCTTAATCCTTGACTTGGACAGCTAGGCACCATTGAAACATAAATAATTAGCAAACAATATGAGTTGAGAGGTTTCGCTAAGTGTTACCCTTCCCAGAGCTCCAAGGCACAGAGCATTTAAAGGACCAGAACTTAGCCACTGCAAAGGGAACTGGGGACAAGGAAGCATAGCCTTGGTCGCCTGCTAGCAACTTTGGTAGCTTGTTCTTGAAAGAGGAGGGATACAAAAAGATGTCTGCTAGAATGCATATGTGAGAAGCAAACACTATTCAGAGGAGCATATGAACTGCAAATACAGTTGCCTTTTGAGCAAGCCATTTAGGGCAAAAGATTTTATGTATTTGCCAGCTCTACTGTATCTGCAAACTAAGAGCAAACACAGTAGGAAAAGAAAAGGGGTTTGTTTTGGGGTGGGTTTGTTGGGTTTTTTTGAGAAGCAACACAAACACAAAATTTGCCAAGCGAGACAGATATCAACAAGAAAGGAAGACTTGTATAACCAACAGTAGCTGCTGACTCTTGAAATGTGTTCTATGCACGTATATGCTGCCTTTATCATGAGTATGCCCACTACATTCAGGCTAGAGTCTCACTCAAAAGTATCAGCTGTGTGTTATCATATGCACCAAGAACACTCCCCTGCCTCCCACAAGAAGCAGCAAGGTTGGAGCCAGCCCAATCACTTGAGCAGCTCTTCATCTTGGACAGCCCTTCATCTTCGGCATCTAATAGCTTCAAGTATCAAGCATAAAGGGTATGACATGGAATCTGTGCCAACATTTCTAAGTAAAAAGTTACTCAACAATTACGCAACTGTTTCTTCTTCATTGCCTTGCCCATGCATTTGTTCTGTTGTTGATGACTTCTAAGCTGCGTACCGTCTGTAGGTGAATATCAGTAATTTGGGCTTGTTTACCCTAGAAATGAAAGACTGATAGGAAGTATGACTGTCAGCATTACAGGAGTGAAAAATAATTCCTTCCAAGTGACACATGAAGAAATGCTGCTTCCAGTCTGTCTGCAAGATACCTGGAGGACAGGCAATTTCCACAAGGTGATGAATGAAAAGGAAGTAGAATGCTGAGACGAAAGCCTGGACCGTTTCCAGAAAACTGTGAATGCAGGGTGGGGCATGCAAAAGCAGTCTTCAAGAGGAATAAAGGCAAAAGAGTAGGGGTTTAATACGCTATCCACAATTTTTATTTTCTTAAATAAAGATGATGCTAAAGCAGTATGTTAGGAAAAAAATGGAGAATTACAACAGAGACTAAGCCACTAATCTATGTACAATGCACACATAACATGAAACAAATGAAAACACTTTTTTACCTAGATGTATCAAGTCGATATTATCCCAGTATTTTAGAGCAGCCTGTATCCCATCATCTTATTATATGATGTGCTTATTATACTGTGCATGCAAAACACTTTGATACTAAGTCAACAATACATAACACTTAGCTAACTTTAAACACATTAACCCAATCATTTAAGTAATCTATTTAATACACAATAAAAATTAAAGCAAATCTGTCTTTCCAACAGTCTAGACCCCTCACTCCCTCTTGTACTTGTCAGTTTGAAAACTTGAATATATTAGAATGATAAAGCATTTTCATCAAAAGACCACACAAAAGTAATTTGCATACAGTTTGATGTGACCTGAAATAGATGCTGAATCCCCATTTTTGAAAGAAAATAGTTATCTTTTTTTTTAACTAAACCAAATGGAAAAAAAAGTCTTAGAATGTCTCAGAATCTTACCTGTTGGTATGCTTCATAGATTATATCAAACAAGAAAGCCTGAGGCATTTCACTCGCTCTGTACCTGGCACGTTCCAATGAGTGGTCTAAACAGCCATCCGCTGCAGAGGCAATAACAGTAGAAACTAGAGGACGAATTGCTCCTGCTGCCTGTAGAACAAAACATAGAGAGGCCTAAATGTTATTCATATTAATGTATATCATATAGCTACAGTCAAAAAAGTAACAGCTTTAAAATACGTTTTCCACTTACTTATCTTTTATATATCTCATAATGCACAAGTCATACTACTTTGTATGAGACTTTTAACACAAATATAGCAACAGAAAACTGTACACGTACATGCTGAGGGCCAATTTACAAAAAAAAAAAGTCTTAAGTCCTTCATAAACACCTACTGCAAATACATGTACAGATCCAAGATGTTCATTTTTCAGATTTTCTTCCACATACTTATTGGGCGGTTTCTGAGGACAGTCCTAGACCTATTCAGGTATCAAACAGCAGGGGACACGCCTGCGAGCTCTTGACACCACACCTATTGCTTTCACAGATTTCAGTTTGGCTAAACTGCTCAGAAATAAGTAACAACAAAAGTTTCAGAAAATTGAGCTTGTTCCTCAGTGTTGAATTCACCCTGTGAAATACTGAGCAACCACACTTACCAGTGAAATCGCTGGGAACACAGTACATACACCAGAAAGCATTCAATATCCAGCAGCACTACGCCCCAGAACAAATACTCAAATGCTTATATTTCAGTTTTGGTTTTGCTTAGATTTGAAACCAATTGAACATATATCTTTAATCTTTTCATCAATATACGGTATTAAAGATCTGCATCCTCTCTGAAACAGAACTCTCCTAGCTGGTTTTAGTCATTTTGATACCAGAAAGTTACCCACACTTCATCAGTCACGTATCAAATACTCACATGAACTTTATACGAAGCTAAAGGCAATTGGGACAAGAGTGGTCCATACAGTAATGAAAAGGATGCAATGGCAGAATGTTGCTTATCAAGTCACAGGGCAAAATGCAGGCTCCCTAATAATGCTAACTACTGAGAATGGCATCCTTACACTGTACTGTTTATTATCTCTCTTTAAGAATAATAAAAAAGAATAATTGATGCTGTTCCAAAACATTTGGAACTTTCCGATGTCTTAAATCAGTATACCTAGAAAACCACTCCCATTGGTGAATTCTGACACTTTTCACTGCAGCCACAGAAGATTTTCTGCGGTCTAGTGAGCTTTGTCACAGAAAAAAAAACAGGTCTCATGACATAAATTAAAGCGCTGTTATTGCTGATTTCATTTACCTTCTGTTGGTAAATCCTGCCCTCATACATATGAGTCCTGTCCATTCTTCCAAGATTTCTGACCTCAGATAAGCATACAGTGGCAGAATGAGACACCAAAAAAGAGCCTAAAGTTTTTCCCTCTCAGAAAAGAAGGAACTAGTTGTCTTCCCTCCCCTTTTCACACTACCAAACAACAAAAGAAAGAGGAACGCAGTCAGCATGTTGAGCACTTCATGAGATCTAAAATAGAGCTTCTTATTTCACTCTTTTACAGAATGAGGACAGAATGTGGACCAATTTCTCATGTCCAAAGAGCTCTGATATGTATGATCTACCAAGGCAGGCAGAAGTGAGAGAAAAGATTCAAAAGATTCAGATGACAAGACAAATATCTGAATCACTTTCTAAAAACCAGAAAAGCACTTTTTCTTTCGAACGTGGGAATACATGTCTATATAAAACACAACATGGAGAAAACACTATCATCCAAAGGCAAAACAAGGTACCGAAAGATCAGCGAGGACTATGAAATCACAGAAGAACTGTCTATAAAGGATCTCGAGGTCACCTAGTCCATCTTTCTGTCCCAGGCAGGATAAATTTTACTTCTGTAATTGATAAGACAAACTGACAAAACTAAACACCACTATAATTTTAACAATACATCAATGTATTAAATGAGGAGTAAATTCAACAGATGTACTTTGAGGTAAAGTTGTGCATAAGCAGAATTAGAGAGACTAAAATATCTACAACTTGTCCCCTTCTCTATTTCCTGTGACTCCAGGACACGGATTATTATCCCTTTTATCTCAGCTGCTGGGCATTTGTACTATGTTATTTTGCTCTGCCGTCATATTTTAATTGGTCACACATACACACAAAAAATTATAAAATTAGAAGGTCATGGGAAAAGAGACGGAGCAGCATGCTAGCCACAGATTTTCTGTAATTAGTTAAGCCTATTTGAATTCTTTTTTCTGAAACAGTTACCATTTCAGAAAAACAGTTAGCAAAAGAGGATTTCTTAGACTGATACAATATTTTATTACAGTTTTTAACAATCATGTCATGTTACATTTTAAGCATAAAACAGGCCAAGAGAATACAATGTGACTTGCGTAACCAAATGTCACAAGTGAAACACGCACTCTGAGGAACAAAAAACCAAACTGCAATTCTAAATAAAATTGAAATACTCAAAATTACATTCTCAAAAGAGCTCTGAAACACATTGTTTTCTTGACATCTGGTTTATTGCACAATAAAAACTCATGAATGTCTGTATCTGTATCTTTGTGACAATACTGAACCACATCTCCTGCTCTGCTGAGGCCTAGCTCTTCCAGAAGATTGAGGAAAATCTAATTCCAAATAAATCCAAACACGTCACTTTTTAAAACCTCCAATTAACTTCAAGTAGCACCTAAAATTTAACAAATTGCACTTTTCAAACAACTACAGTTTTGCTTTACGTTACCCCAGAACTGAGTCCAGTGTGGCAGGCTGAGAGTTTCTCACCTGTCTTCCCCGTGTTTCAATGAGAAATGTCAAGTTAGGCACAACAAGATGTCTTCTGCAGCAAGCCCACTCAAAATATACCTGACACTGACTGAAAACATGAAGTTTACCACAAAGAATAAGATTTAGGGGTGACTTCTGATAACGTGAGGGAGAGAAATTCTAACTATGTACGCAGTAAAAGGATAACTAGCAGTCATTTGATTCAAAAAAATATCAGCTTGTATTCCAAAAAAACACCACTCAGTCCACGACTGCTCTATGCTTTAAAAGGAGAATCTAGAGCTCCAGTACTTACTAAAGCCAGGAATTTTCTACTGCACAGAAAACCTTCACACGATGAGCAGCTGGGGTCCAAAAGCCATGTATCCATGAGCTTGAGCATACTTGCTAAGGTGCAGCACTGAGCTGAAACCATGAAATCCTGAGATGAGATACAGAAACTGGTTCGTTGTGTTGCTCAGTACTGGTTCGCCTTTCTGCAGGACCTTTCTCTACCAGCACACACACACAGACTCCCTCAGCGAGATGATGTGACCCAACACCGGGCTGTGTTTACCACCTCAGTGACACAAGAACTACATTAGTTCCTAAGGCCACTTTCAGACTGGGTGAAACTGGGATCAAGCAATGGAAAATACTGTCCTGTGCATGCCCTGCATTGTTTTCATATGGGACAAGAGAGCTGAGTCCCTAGCAAAGAAAACCTTGCATCTGCAGTACTGGCAGCACATTCTGTAGCTGGCATACGCCGACGCTGCTGCCAAACCCAAGCTGGTTTACGCAGACCTCACCGCACATGCTTCTGCTTCCAAAATCAGCTCCTCAGTATCTTCATTCACGGTGTCAACATAATATTTGGCATGTAAAAACAGAAGAATTGAACTGTGAATGTTGTTCTCTCACACAGGCCAAAGAGGGGCACAGTTTAAGATGTATGGCTTGTTCTGCAGTATTTCCTTCGGGGTTGCGCAAGTATCCTCCCTACTCAGCACAAAACCTTTTCTGAATTCCACTTCTAGAAGTCTTGCAATGAACTGAATGGGGAATTTAGGTACTTAAGACAGGGTTACAGACTACATTTTTTAGTTCAGAAACTTAAATATTAGGGCACAGAGGGCCAACAACACAATCAGGTACTACTGCACCTAAAGGGGTTTTGCCCCAGTGACTGTGGGGTGCAAGTAAAGAACAAAATCAACCAGCTGGTCTATGTCTATTCAGTTAAAACAGCAAATATTTTATTCTTTGCAAGGAATTTCCATGTTTTTCTGGTTATAAATCGGTAACAAAGAACTATTTCCATATTAGTAAAGAGAATATATACACTGAGTCCCAGGTATTTCAATTTTATTTCTTCTAATTTGAGAAGCTTTCACTTGCTATTTATCTCAGGAATGTACAGGTATTTGGCCCGGCTCTCAGGCAAGAGGTTCAGACATGAACTTTTTTTTTTAAAAAAAGAACAAAACAAAAAAAATCTGTCCTCATTTAAAACAACAAGTACTTGCTAATGTCACTATAGTTTTACAGATCTTTTTCACACTTTGAATCATCTTACCAAAAAATACAAATCCTGTGAGTCTAAAGCAAGTGCCTGGGTCTTATACTAACATTTCCCTACCCAGAGTACTCATTTTCCAATTTTAAATCATTTTGACCCAGATCTCAAGTAGATTTGCTTTCAAAATCATACACAAAATGCATCATACACCCTTCCTGAATGTGAAGTGGATAGTTCATGGATATTCAAACTGAATTTCTTTAAATGTCCACTTTATAGCCTTCAGACCACTCCAAAGACAGTCAAGCACTAGCTTTGGTGAACATGGCATGTTCAGGAAATGTATACACTTTTTTCCCCTCTTTTGCATATTTTGTTAAATAAATTAGTTAAAGTATCTAAATATCTGTGGGCAAGCTCTTAAAATACTCTTTCATAGTGTAACAGACAAAAACAAATATTGCTAACTGGTTAGTTTTCTTCTGCAGACAAAATATTGGAACAAAATCCATCCTTTTAATCTATCATTTCCTTAAAACAACCCTAAAATATCCTCCGAACGCAGAATTCTATCAACTTCTGTGGATGTCACAGACTGGTATCTCTCAGAAACAAGCTCATTCATCCATCTGCTGAAAACTGTGCCATCCTCTAGGTGCTTTTAGAAGCAACAGGTGTCTTTCATAACCCAATTTAAACAGTCCAAGTCAAAAACCTTTACAATTTGTATTCAGTTTTTTGCATAACTGCCTAGAGCACAGCATACATTGAAGATTTAAAGATTTAATGCTGACTGAAAAAAATGTAGAGACTGAAGT